TTAATTGCTTTTGGATTATCCCCTCTTGCCATTTCGTCCTAATAATTAATTATGTTTAGTTAGTTTTTTATATTTGCAACAAAATACAATCATTGAATTAATAATGACAAAATGTATATTGTTATTAGCAAGTATAATAAAGAAATTAACGAGTATTTATATTTTGAAAACATCGATCTGAAAATTAATTTGATATAAATGAAAAGGAGAGAACAGAAGGGAAACAACTAAAAGCTTTGCCATTTACTTAAAATACTCAGAGTTTGCAAAATATTTCCATTTTCCAAGTTGATCTGATCCATTCGTTCGTAGAGCAATTTACTCACTGCTTCACACCAAAAAGAAGGGAGCTACTTGAAAATTAAACTTAGGCTTTAAAATAGCCTTTTGAAAAACAGAAAACTACTAATCAAAAGACACTGAAAAGATAGAGGAAAAAATAAGATTGAAAAGATCAAACATGACCCGGTAAAACCCAAAAAAAAATTAACAAAAAAGGACCATTTGCRCTCCTACAATAAGTACTTTTTGGTAAATTAACAAAGCAATATCTTTAAACGAATAATATTTATATAGTTACCGAGAATGTTCCCAAGTCGTCCGCAAGTCGCAAGATTAACGATGAGTAGCGAACAATGTTGTTAGTTCTTTCCAAGCATTGTAGGATCTCTTGGGTTGAAGTCATAGACGTCAAAAAATAACAATGCATGAGTACTGTAGAACCCGATATTGATATATAAGCGTTGTCCAAGTATTCTTGGAGTGTTGGTGTATGCCCACTTTGGTACCACTTTGCTTCTACTAGGTATGACTTGCATAAATCTGCCCACTGTTCCAACATAGTTAGGAAAATTTAGATTCGAATCTGATCACAAATTAAGGAATTAAACATGATATTAGTTAATAAAGACGGATTAATTACTGCTTTCTTTAGGTATGGAAGGATGAGTAATCCTGTATTTGTCAAATTGTCATATGTGATCTCATTTATGGTGTTGTAGAATCCAAGGAAACAAATCTTCATATAATCCGGGAGTTCTTCAATCGCATTGATATCCCATCTACGCATTCAAATTTTCTTTTTAATCGTTAGATTTCATGAAATTATATATGAAAGTTAAATATTATTTGATCGATAAACATTTGATTCAAATGGACGTAACAACGATTAATTAATATTTACCTGGTGATAACATCGGTAAATTTTTGAAGTTCGTCCAAAGTACCATAAACATCATAGACATCATCAATAGTAGTAATCATGGCGTTAACCTTTGTTAACGTTTTCCTTCCAAGGCTAAACTTAGGTAGGTAACTAAAACCAATTGTCCACAGAAAGTTCTCCACCAACCGGTCTCAACAAAAGCTTAACTTCTTATCCCAACATGTATTTCTCCACCACCTATATATTCAATTCATAGCTCTATATCATTGGCAGTTAATAAATAATGTCATCAAAACTTGTAGGTCTTCTTCATATGTGAACATTATAAACAGGATTATATGCATTATGTATTTAAGATCTGTTTATATGTGAACCTGATTTTACGTGAACCTTTTAGGTGTTCATTTGTGAATTTGTATGTATAAACGATATCCCAAATTGAATGCGTGTTTTCTAAACAAGCTTCTTCTACAACTTAGAGAATTAATAGGCCTATATATATGTGTATATATCATGTATATATACAGGGAATAAATGGCTAAATAACTCGTAATTAAGAAAGGAATGATACCTTGATGAGTATTTTAGATCTTGAAGGTGGATAGCCTGGACCATGTTAAAATCCAATATTGCAAGCTCCATCAATGTGAGATCAATCATACCACTTGTTTTCTTGCATTCTTCTATAAACCACTTGGCCTCTACTCTTGGTACTCTCCAATGCAGTGGAAACTCCAAAGCATGACTTACTAATGACCATAAACTACTACTTCCATCAATCGTATCTCGAATTTGTTTTAGATATTCCGTGGTGAAGTCTCTAACATCATCCAAGATGCTTTCATCCTCGAATGAATGATAAGAAGCCTCGTACAGGTTTATCATTCCCACCACATCAATATCCCCTTTAACATGTTCMGTCTTGTGCTTAAAGTCGTGAAAAATCTCTAAATCAAATGAAGGAATGTATAAATTTGTGTTTTATAGTAACATAAGATGCATGTGATAAAAAGATCCTTGAATATTAATCAAGTTTGTACCTTGAGGAACATGATAACCATGTTGTCTGAGTAGTCGAAAGCCAAGGGCCCTAAGGTTCATATCCATTCCATTCCATTGCTCTTGAGTTTTGAAGTGATCATCGTAAATCAGCTCCAAGACTTGATTTATTTCTTCCTCAAAATGATACGATATTCCGAGTCTCTGCAAATTGTCAACCAGCGCAAGGCTGTTCAATGGATTGCCCGTTACTTTCTGTATCATCGTCTTTACAGCTTTCTTCAAACTAGATGCTCTTGCCTCGTAATCTTCTTCCTGCATGTGTAATTAAGTTATATACATATTATATATATATATATATATATGTATAGAGAGAGAGAGAGAGTTTGGTTCAAATACAACCCATCGCATTTGTACAATCAATGCAACTCAATATATTGAGATATTTATGGAAATGATGAGAGTTCATTTATTATAATTTAAATATTTATGCAAGATGAATATGGTTCATTAATTATGATCGATACTTTATATTAGGAAACAATAAAAACTTCTATGAAATCACATGTTAATCAAATGAAATGGACGGTTGAGATTGTGTTGTATTGGTTGTACAAATGTCAAGGGTTTTCTTGATCAAATGAAAACCGCCCACGTTTGTGTAAACCAATCTCATTCATCCGTTTTCTTGATCAATGGTCAAGATTAGTTTAGGTTATATTAGGAAATTAAAAAAAATTATTTTATAATCCTTAAAAGGGCAAAATGGTAACTTTAATTTGGTAGTGCTAATATTAATGGCAACCATATAATGTATATCGTAATATTAATGAAACAAAATCATTTGTAAAATAATATATTAATTTTATGTTCAAATATTATAAATAAAATTACATCCATCATTAAAATAGATTAACAATAAAAATAAAACACACTATAATCAATTTAACATAATGAAACATTTTGAATAAAAAAAAATTACTACTACATTTCATGAATGAAATGGTTTCACAATTTAGTCAATACACAAATCAACATAATGCTAGATGAGACATTTATCATTTTCATGTTATTGGTAGATGGATATGTTTCAATCTAATTATGAAATTGTTTCACTGTTCGCTAATTACACAACATTTTCTTAACAATTATGAAATGGTTTCACTTTCGTTATGCACCCATTTCATCGGCAAATTTTTTTCAATCCGAACACGTTTCATAGCGTCAATGCATTTACCATTACAGGCTTTGTTAACCATTAAGTGAACAAAATTATCCAAAGAAAATTAAAAAAAAATGAAACATTTTCATCAATAATGAAATTATTTCACTATTCGCTAATTACACAACATTTTCTTAACAATTATGAAATGGTTTCACTTTCTTTGTGCACCCATTTCATCAACCAATTTCTTCAAATACGAACACGTTTCATAGAGTCAATGCATTTACCATTACATGTTTTGTTAACCATTAAGTGAACAAAATCATCAAAAAAAAAAACAAAATGAAACAATTTCATCAATAATTGTTGATAAGAAAACAAGATTATGCAAGAATATTATATTACGCAACCATTTCATCCCCAAAAGTTTCATAAGACAAGCTCCTCAATGAACGTTTTCACGAACCAATCTGCATACGTTTCATAAAACAAGCTCCTCAATGAGCGTTTTTATGAACAAATCTAACATGAATCTGTATAGTTGATTATATTTTTACTGTTCATGAATCTTTGTTTGGATCTATTACTGATTTCGTGGATTAATGAATATAATAATTTTCGATTTTCATATTATTACCACTAATAAACCGAAAAACCAAATAACAATATTCAATTTATAAAATTTTAATTTAAATAAACATTTAAATATTACCATTTATAAAATTTCCTTTGTTATATTACCTTATTTAAAATATATTAATAACTTCCATATTTAATAGAAAACAATGTAAATGACAAATCTACCCTTAATGATTAAATTTAATTAATTAAGAAAAAGAGGAATTTTCCTATTGGACGAAATTAGTTTACACGGTTTCTAAGAATTAGACGGTTTTCATTTGATCCCGCCTATATATATATATATATATATATATATATATATACACATATATATTCTTGAATATGAGCAGAAGAATTGATCAACAATTAAAAAAATGCATGAATGAAACATGTAAAGGGGAAAATGCATGGTAACTGTACAGTGTATTTACTGGATAGTGATTAACGATGATCAAATGACAACGATGGCTTATAGTTTGTTGATCGTCAAACCGATGGGTTCCGCCACAAATTAAGACGGTCATTAACGTAGACTTTGATGAACATAATAGCTTGCAAACGTTGAAACCTCTAGTTGCGGCAATAAGATTTTTGTAATGAAAAATTGAACAGAGAAATAAGAACATTGAAGCCATATAGAAAAAGAGAAGTTGAACTATAAAGTAATACGTACGTTGGTCCCAATTAAGTTATATATTGGTATCAATTATCATACACACACAGGGGCGGCACACAAGTTTTCCAAAAGGTTGGGCCATACCTGATATATTATATATTTTCAAAAATACAAAAATTACACTATCCAAAGTTAAAACGTAGTAAAACTCTAAAACTAGACGTCAAATATGAAAATGCCAGAGATCGTTAATCAAGTGCCTCCAACATTTCAAGAAAATTTCCCCCGTTAATAGAATCTAACTTCTTATTGTGGCCTCTAAATACAACCGCTTGAAAGACTCATTGGTTCAAGTAATAGCATTTTAAGTCCAATTAAAGTATCAAACAATTTCAAACAAATTTGAACCTAATCATTAATCAAACAATAACATCTTAAAACTTGAATAGAAATATAGAATGAACCTCCCCCCTGTGATTTAGGGGCTATAATCGGAGGTCGAGACTCAACTCACTCGAGAGTGGTCAACACGGGGAGGGAGGATAGATCAACAGATCTATAATTTCAATAATGGAGATTGGAGATTGTAATTTTGTTCATAAGTTATTCGTATAATTAAGTTTGTCGGCCGATATTGTCATGTGAGCATGTGGCGATGAAAAATCAACAACTTTAGACTTTAGTGGACTATGGATTGTAGCTTTAGAGATTAAAAATTTTAGGCTGGATTAAAAGATTAGTGGACTCCAGTGGAGAGGCCAAATTAAAAAAAATGGAATTAACAATTAAAAGTCCAATTTGTACAAACCGTGCAAACCATCTTCATCCATCGATTTCATTGTTTAATTTTATGAAATTTTTTCATGAAATTGTTTAATCTTGTGAAATTGTTTCATATAATACTTTTTTTTTGATGAAGTCGTTTCATATATGGTTATGAAATTGTTTCATATAATACTTAATGAAACTTTAATGAAACCGTTTCATGTATTTCTTCATAATTAAAATAATGAACATGATAATATCCATGATTAACACCCTCCACAATAGAAATGATTAATCAACCTCTCATAATTACAAAAAAATGAACAAAATGAAAAATTATGATTGGTTGAATGAGGTTTGTACAGTTTGTACAAATAACGTGGTTTGTAAAGTAAACATCATCTCTCTCTGTCACACACTCTCTCTCTCTCTCTCTCTCTCTCTCTATATATATATATATATATACACACACATATATATATATAGGAGTTGGTTAAAATATTAACCAAGTTTATTGTGTTAACTTTGTTAACCAATCTTGGCAATTGATTCTTACAATAAATGGTTGTGATTAATCATATTAAAAATTTAATTTATTAAATTTACAATTTCACAAACATATGTGAACTAAGTGGAAAATGGTATTTATGTAAAATATCATGTGCTTTTGATACCATCAGTTACCAAAACAGTAAATATCGTTACCAAAGTGTCTTGAATCATCTCGGAACATGTATGAACACAACATGAACAGTTATGAACACAATAAGAATAGCTGCTACATGAAAGGTAAGAAATAAAAAATAGTTATGAACACAATATGAACAGCTTGTGAACAATAGTTGCTTCATTATGAACACATTCAGGAGCCAGACACTGTTGAGAAATGCAGCTAGTCTACATATGAACACAATATGAACAGTTTGGGAACAATAGTTTTTT